AACAGACAAGTAAAATAACCCGGCCTGTATCACTCTGCCTGCTATAAATTAAAAATAGATCAAAGAAGGTAAGGGCAAAAGCAGGGAGACCAGTGAGAAGGCTCTGAGATTATCCAGGTCAGAGATGCTGGTCATGACCAAGGCGGTGGGGCTGGAGGTGTGAGAATGGTTCCAGGTGTGCTCAGGAGATACAGCCACTAGGGTTTTTCTGAAGGGGAACATGTAAAAAAAACAACACAGAGCTGGGAGAATGGAGGTCCTGTTAGATGAGCAGGAAATACTACAGAAAAGGGAACTCTAGGGGGAAGCTTGGGACATGTATTCTCCATCGAAACATGTTTGTGAAAAGTCAGTAGGCAGCTGGACAGGTGACTGGATAAAATAGCAAAGGGAATGAACATGGAAATAAAAAAGGAAGAGGCCAAGAGTGGAAAGAAAAAGAGAAGTCAAGGACCAAGACCTGAGGCACTCCAACGTTAAGAGGTCAGAGAATTGAGGAAGAATCAGCAAAGGAGATGAGAAAAGCAGCCAGTGAAGCAGAAGGACCACAAGGAGAGCATGGTGCCAGAAGACAATTTAATTAAGAAAAAGATGGAGAACTGGCCATGAACATTAAGCTTCAAAGAGTAGCTGGTGATCTTGATCAGAACAGTTCTGGTAGAATAGTAGAGAGAGAAACCTGACTGAAATGGGTTTTAGAGAAAAGGCAAATATAGACAAGTTTGTTTTTTATTTTAATTTTTTTAAAGAACAAATGGATCCAAAAGTTAAACATCTTACATATCATACATGCTGTGTGATAATCACTGACTTATATTTATTAATAAGACTCAGTGCCAATAGAAATAAAAATGATGTTGGGAGTTAAAAGTCTGAATGCAAATTCTCATTTATTATTAGACCAAAAAGTACATTTTCAAAAAAGGGAATTGAGAATGCTCTCTTTGTCTTCTAGCTATAATATTACTTTCAAGTTATCTTTCCTTGGTGCCTTAGGGATAGGTTACCATATTTAAATACTAAAATTTATAGCTTCACACATTAAAGATTTAAAAAGTACTGGGTGGGAGATTTCATAGTCATTGTTAGGAAAATATTGTTTGGCATCTTCTAAACTCTATGGCAGGTTTTGGGTTTGTAGCTGGAGAAAACAGTAAAGTGTAAAAAGCCTTTTCAAGGCCAAACAGTAATTCACAGGTTTAAACCCCAATTGCAATTTCTATACAACACCTAATATATGTAAGATGAAATGTAAATCTCTAGACACTGAGCACATCAAGTGAACATCAAAATGTACTAGCCGATACCTTAAGCTCTAAAATGTAAAACAGATGGTGAAAAGTAATGCACTGTTAAATCAAGAGTCTCTCTGGAAAAAGAAAAAAACCATATTAAGACTAATAGTCTGTTGCATAGTATTAAATGTTATTTCCCTTCAAATTTACTGCTACAGAAGCAGTAACTGATGTGAAAGCACAAGCAAGAATGAGTATTAACAGACCTCGTACCAAAATTTATCAGGTATATAATGCTGTTCAACTTGGTTAACAGTGGTTTTAAGTGATAAGAGAATAATAATAGTTCAAGCAACTTCATGGGCCATTTCAAAATTAGGTTTTCCCTTCTTTCACTTTACAAATATTATTTGTATCTTCTCCAATATTTACATGCTAAGGCACAAGGGGAAACTATGAATTTGGAAGAAACATCATATTTTGGAACAATGCAAATATAAACACACAAATAGCCAATCAGAGAGCTTCAAGACTATGGTAAAGGCAAGAAATTCCATACTGGGCTATTAGTGTGTCTAATGCTAAGTCACAAGTAACTAAAGAAAAACTTTGTTTCAATTTACTTAATGGTAAAACCAGATAATAACAACTATCCAAATGTTGAAGTACTTACCTGTTAATTCTATGAGGTAAGGGAATGAAAGCTGTCATGGAAATAAAAGAACTATAAGCTTTCATTAGTGAAATAATCCATATTAATTTATAGCAAGTGACAATCAACAAAAATACTACACAGTATTGTAGAGTCAGGCACAAGCTATTGTTTGATTCTTCTACTAACTCTATATATAACTGTTAGCATGTAACTAAGTTTTGTTGGGCTTCAGTTTCCAAATTTGCAAAATAGTAGGTTAAAGTAGATGACTTCTTCCAGTTCTAAATGTGCAACTCTACAATTTATATCAAAAAACAAGACTTATAAAAAGTACTACATCTTAAGTATTTAAATGAAAAGGCACATGTTTTGAAAAGGTAAACCAAAATTTGTTTTTCATTTTCAAAGCATGCTCAATTTTAAAAGAAAAAGTTAACTTTTATCATCGTTCTATTCCAATTTAGTGAATTCTTCTGAATAGAATTTCAGCTTTATCAGGTGTACACCTGATAGCTAACCCTGAAGTACGAGGATTGGGGAAGTGTTTTGATATGTGGTAGGGGAGTGGTGATCATGTGCTTTCAGATCTTAAAGCCATCATGCTGATTTGAGAAATTATTCAGACTGGGATTTTCCCAAACCCTAATTTATCAAAAAGGTTCTTAGAGCACAAACCATTATGGTTTCCAATCCAGCAAGGCTCAGACATGCACATACATTTAAAGTCATAGATATCTGTTAAACAATCCTTAAAAAAAAAAAAACCCTAAAAAAGGTTAGCCTACTTTTGATTAGGAGTGGGTAGCTGAGTTTCAAGGAAAAAACCCATGTTTTTATCCATATTTTCTATCTTATTCCAATGTTAATATTCTTCATATTGGAATATTTCATCAGTTAACAGAGGATTAAACAAAAGGCCTACTTAATCACATCAACCCTGATACTCCATTATAATTCAGCTGTTTCTATAAATGTCTCCAAATCAGTTCTATTTGTTACTCTAATTTTAATTTCTGCTTTTCCTGTTACTCAAGTCATATGAACATCCTTTAAGTAAATGCAGTCTATTTTTCTAACCATTTTTAATTTCTAACTCTTTTTCCTCTTATAAGGTCTTCCCTTTTTTATGAAAGAACTATTTATTCTACGTCTGCCAAGCATCCTTTCTCTCCTTATAAACACACAAATAGCCAATCAGAGAGCTTCAAGACTATGGTAAAGGCAAGAAATTCCATACTGGGCTATTAGTGTGTCTAATGCTAAGTCACAAGTAACTAAAGAAAAACTTTGTTTCAATTTACTTAATGGTAAAACCAGATAATAACAACTATCCAAATGTTGAAGTACTTACCTGTTAATTCTATGAGGTAAGGGAATGAAAGCTGTCATGGAAATAAAAGAACTATAAGCTTTCATTAGTGAAATAATCCATATTAATTTATAGCAAGTGACAATCAACAAAAATACTACACAGTATTGTAGAGTCAGGCACAAGCTATTGTTTGATTCTTCTACTAACTCTATATATAACTGTTAGCATGTAACTAAGTTTTGTTGGGCTTCAGTTTCCAAATTTGCAAAATAGTAGGTTAAAGTAGATGACTTCTTCCAGTTCTAAATGTGCAACTCTACAATTTATATCAAAAAACAAGACTTATAAAAAGTACTACATCTTAAGTATTTAAATGAAAAGGCACATGTTTTGAAAAGGTAAACCAAAATTTGTTTTTCATTTTCAAAGCATGCTCAATTTTAAAAGAAAAAGTTAACTTTTATCATCGTTCTATTCCAATTTAGTGAATTCTTCTGAATAGAATTTCAGCTTTATCAGGTGTACACCTGATAGCTAACCCTGAAGTACGAGGATTGGGGAAGTGTTTTGATATGTGGTAGGGGAGTGGTGATCATGTGCTTTCAGATCTTAAAGCCATCATGCTGATTTGAGAAATTATTCAGACTGGGATTTTCCCAAACCCTAATTTATCAAAAAGGTTCTTAGAGCACAAACCATTATGGTTTCCAATCCAGCAAGGCTCAGACATGCACATACATTTAAAGTCATAGATATCTGTTAAACAATCCTTAAAAAAAAAAAACCCTAAAAAAGGTTAGCCTACTTTTGATTAGGAGTGGGTAGCTGAGTTTCAAGGAAAAAACCCATGTTTTTATCCATATTTTCTATCTTATTCCAATGTTAATATTCTTCATATTGGAATATTTCATCAGTTAACAGAGGATTAAACAAAAGGCCTACTTAATCACATCAACCCTGATACTCCATTATAATTCAGCTGTTTCTATAAATGTCTCCAAATCAGTTCTATTTGTTACTCTAATTTTAATTTCTGCTTTTCCTGTTACTCAAGTCATATGAACATCCTTTAAGTAAATGCAGTCTATTTTTCTAACCATTTTTAATTTCTAACTCTTTTTCCTCTTATAAGGTCTTCCCTTTTTTATGAAAGAACTATTTATTCTACGTCTGCCAAGCATCCTTTCTCTCCTGCTTCAAAGACCTATTTGAAGAAACTTTCTCACATGAAACTTATCTGTCTCAGGAGCATCTCACTGGAGAAAATAAGCAATCTGAAATGAAACTTCCTTTTAGATTATTAAAATAAATATGAGTTTTAATTTAGAGATTTTCTCTATATCCTAAAGTCAAATAAAGGCATATACAAGTATATTATTAAATGGCTTTTGAAAATGTATCCACTATGTTTGAACTATTCATCACTTCATCTTCCTGTGTTGCATTCTGAGATAATCTATAGCTTAAATGATTAAGCAGCACATTAATTTGTTTTTTATCCATACCATACTCTTCTGCTATGGAGGTATTATTATTAGTAATTTACCTGGGGCAAAATCACTCTCCGGTGTTTCATGTAATTTTATTCATGAGAAGGAGAATGGTTGTTGTGCTTAACGTGCTATATTGAATCAATTTCAATAAACTCAATCATCATCATCATCTCATTAGTAATGGTCATTTAATGTAAAGTATTGTGAGCCATACATAGGATTGATTTTAAACTTAAATACTACAAGCATCACTTTGAGAACAGTAACTCCCAAACTATTTCAAATAATGACTAACAGACACTCACCAGGAAAAGCATCAAAAGTAACCCTGTCTCCAGGAACAGACCCAGTAGGAGGTGCCAAGATTTCAACTTTCTCTGGTGAACTAGCACACATCACCATTGCCTGAGATAGTACTCCCCTCATCTTTGCAGGTTTTAGGTTACAAAGTAAGATCACCATCCGATTTTGCATCTGTGTGAAACATAAATTGGTGATTAAAAACATACAGAAACTTAGAATGCTCATACCTAGAATACATTAAAGTATACCTAATAAGCTAAATATCTAACATTCTACTTTTGTGGATGTATCTTCATTCCTGTGTGCCCAAAATCTTTTTATTGTTGTTATGAAGCCTTATATACACATGAAAAAAATTCTATAAACTGATAAGGTATAACAGTTAAAAAGAGCAGAGGCAAAGTTTTCCAGTTAAATATTTATTGAATGAATAAATTAAAAAATGACCTAATGAAAGAGATTTGGTTTTGAATTTCAGCTGACATGTACTGGCAGCAAGACTGTATAAAGCTGATCTCTGTTTCCTCACATAATGAGGGAAATGATATTGAACTTAAAGAGCTGTTACAAGGATTAAATCGTAACACACATATAAAGCATTTAGCTTAGCATTACCACTAAATAAATACACAATTATGTTTCTTCATACACCCTTGGTCATTTCCACATGCAAGATTCATTTCCTATTTTAAGGAATACTGACATTTAACAATTCAAGCATTACGCACACTGCAATCAGCATGCAGGGCTATTTCCACAGTTTGTTAGAGAAGTAAAGAGAAAATTCTTTAATCTTCAAAAGTTGAAGTGTCTTAGTTTTCCCCTCAACTGTCAAAAATTAGGAACACAGTTGTTTAAATTCTAATCACTGGTTAAAAATGAAATGACATATAATAGGTCTGCAGGGGAACATATACTACAGTGGGTAAAAGAGACATTCTAAATAAAAGATGGTTTTATAAATAAATGTTATGTCAAATTTACCCCCAAATTCTATGACTAAAAATAAAAGGGATGGGAGCCTGATTCAAATTCAAAAGGCCCCCTTTTTAGAGGTCTTCATGAATAAGACTCTTCAAATTAGTAACTTAAAAATGCCTCATATATGAGAACTTGCTTTGCAGAACGCTTACTTGTACTGTCTTGATGGATTAGATACAGATGAATATTATAAAAAGCTTTGCTTATAGCTGTGAATTACAGCCTTTGCAAGAGAAAAAATAGACTACAACTTATGAGAACAGAAAAGAGCCCCGATGAGGCGTTTTCTTAATTGGAGCTAGATCAAGATCAGTTGGTTTTCTCCAGGGTTCCTTGTGAACCCAACTTCGTAAGTGGTTATGAAGGAGTCCTGGGTCTATATAATATGAATGTTTAAAAGATAAAAAAAAGTACACACATAAGCCAAATCGATCTTTTTATTCATAGATATGAGAAACTTCTTTACTGATCTCCTTAATTTCATGTTTCTCCCCTCAACAGAGGAGCCAGATGATTGCATTAATATGTGAGGCAGACCACGTTACTCCTTAGCTCCAAAGTCCTCGAATGGCGTTCATCTCACTCAGTATAAAGGCCAGTCTGTATGATGACCTCTAAAACCCTATGTTGTTGGGACCCTTATCTCTAATTTCATCTCCCACAACATTCCTTACTCAGCTGTAGTGACACTGCTTCCTGCTGTTCTGTGAACATCCCAGGCACAATCTGACTCAGCTACCTGAAATGCTCTTCCACCAGATAAGACATGTGACTTGTTTTCTTTTTCTTGGACCTTTACTTAAACGTCACTTTCTTTATAAGGCCTCCCCTGGTCACTGTGTAAAATAACATTGTCCTTACCTCAATATTTCCTTATTTCTCAAATCTACTGTTTCCCTACTTTATTTTCTCTTGATATTTATCATTATTTAATACACTACATATTATAATTTTCTTACTCCCCCCACAGGAATGTGAGCTTCACAAAGGCAGGGCTAAATTTTTTCCCTTAAAAAAACAAATCTATCTAAATTCACTGTTATCTACCTTAATTCACTGCTGTATCCCTTATCTAGAATAGTTCCTGGTACACTGCAGGTGATCAACAAATATTTTCATCTAGAAATAGAATGAATGTGGGGATCTGTCCAAGTTCACAAAGCCAATAAGCAACACAGCTGGCAATGTTCTCCAAAGTTGCCAGAAAAGTAAAACTGTCTTAACATTGATGCCTATGGTCTTCGCAATATCTCTGAAGCACCATGGGGGAGAAAACAGGTAGACTCAAATTACTGTAGAAGATGTCCTGAAAGAGCAAAGTAAGAACTATTACTGTCTTTGATTTTTGTCCACTGTCATTGGAAATATACATACTGGTATATATCCACATATACCGATATATTTTTTAAAATACCTAAGTAACAAAATATAAAACATCCAATTTTTAAAGGAATACCATTAAAGTACAAATTCAGTCTCCATGATCCCCTCTTTTTCCTTCAAGTATGAAAATATTTCTTAAGTTATAAAAAAGTAAAACTCGTACTCTTACTTTTAGATTGGTGCTTCTGAATTTGTATAATGGTGATTTCAAAAAAATTAAGGAATAATAAAACTTCATGATGAAACGATGCTAAAATATACATACTGTACTTCATACGAAATAACTAAAAACATTTTGAAAAATTGAGAAAAAGTAATTGACCAAATTTTCTATTCATGAATTCGATCCTAACTTACAGATGTCTTGCAAGATTTTGGTAGTTTCATGTACTTCTTTGGTACATAATTCATCACATTCAAATTAATCATCTGAATTAAGAAACATTGGCTCATGTTGTATGGCCACCTGATACAAAATTATATAGAAAAACATCAAGAAAATGAGAATGAAAGTGACATGTATCAGAAGAAGTTAATTTTAGTTGTACAAATTACCTGTTCAAGAGGAACATGATTCACCAGGCCACTGACAACTGTTCTTGGGGCTGGTTCTCCAATATCTACTTCTTCTACATACAAAGAATCTGCATCAGGGTGTTTTCTGGCAGTGATGATACAACCAATTCGAAGATCGAGACGGGAAACATCTATTGGCTTAGAGTTGTCACCTCCTGCTACTGCCTGCTGCTTTTTCTCCTTTTTCTCTCCTAAAATATTTATGAATGGGTGGACATCAGAAGTCTAATAAAAATAAACTATGAAAAACTCCACAGCTTTGATAATGATTTTTAAAAAAAAGGAAAAAAAGTGTTTCTCTCCTACCTGATCTTAAATTATAATGAAAGAAAGAATTATTCAAATCATAAAATCTTGAACCCTATTTTAGCTATTTCTCTGTTGACTGTCTATATTCCTAGTTAAAGACTATATGAGTTAAAGAGAACATTTTATTCTGATTATCTTAAAAAATATCCTACTTTACATATACGCTGATAATGTAACTCCATTAGCATATGATTACTTCAGCTACTGAGTCAAAATTCAATCTGTAAAGAGTTTATATGCCTAAGTTTACATTTTATGTGCCTATGTTTACATTTAACTTCTCTGGAAAATAAAAAAGTGACACAAAATAAAAATTTGTTCACCCTCCAATCTGCAGGGTAGGGATAACCTATTGTGGCTTCTCAACTATACCTGTATCTAATCTTTAAACAAATATTTACTAAGATCTAAGGCATTAGAAACAGTAAAGTGAGTAGCTCATGGTGTCAAGGCACTGAAAATCTCTTTTAAGTAAAATGGACGTCAATAATGAATATATGACAAACATTTTAAATACAAAGAAATAGACAAGCATAGAAAAAAGTAACTCTGCCTAGAATGGTAAAGGGAAATTTTGTGTAAAGTACCTTCATAACTTACACAAAGATAGCTTACAGAAGAGAAAGTACAGTCAGTTCAAAATGGACAATTTTTAATATCAGCAAATTTGTTAAAGTATCATGTTCCATGTAAGATATCAGCAAAGATTTTTTTAATGTTAAAAACTCAAATGATACAGAAATATTCATACAAAATTACTAGAATAAAATATGCCAAAAATCTTAGTAGTTCTCTTTGAGTGATATACTATAATTTACTTTAAAATACTGCAGTATCACAGTACGATATAACTACATCATATGTATATGTGTGTGGGGGGTGTGTGTGTGTGTGTGTGTGTGTGTGTGTGTGTGTGTGTATTTTATTTTCTAGCCATTTAAAATATCTTTATCAGGAATCTACATTTTAGAGGTGATTGCGAATACTAAAATGTATTACAACAGCTTTGTTAGTCACCATAAGGGATTTTAAATACTTCATTGACAAATTAAGTGATGCTCATAAGTGGAAGTCTAGAAAGATCATATGGGCACAACAGCCCTTCCATGAGCAGAATTTTAGAATCTGGCAATCCTAGCAGCCAAAAACCTATAAAATAGCCCTCTCATTTGGCATTGTCCAAAATAGAGGCTGTCAACCACAGATAGCTATTTACATATAATTTTAAAATAACTAAAAATTCTCTTCTTTAGTCACACTAGACACACTTCAAATGTTCAACAGCCATATATGGCTACTGGATACTGTGTTGGATAATTCAACTATACAGCATTTCCAAAATCACAGAAAGTTCCATTGGACAGAGGCGTGCTAGACCTAAAGCTCCACTTAGTCTTATGTGTTCCCTCCTCCCATAAAGGCTTTCTTGTTTCATTTGATTAGAACACTGACTGATCCTGCAGTCACAAATAACGATGCATCTTCTCTGAGTATGGATTGCACCAAACATGTAAGAGGCTGTAGGATTCTAATAAATTTTACAGTGGAAGAATTAGTCTTACCTGCTTTCACTGTAACTGTACCACCTAGTGGTGAAGTTAGGTAAGAGAGAAGTATAGCCCTTATCTACTACTAATGCACCCAGGCTACTGAGGTTTAACAGAAGAACTGACCAATGTTAGATGCTAAATTGGCTTAGGTTAGTTCACAAATCCCTCAGGCATTTTATATTTTCCAAATCAATTTTAAAAGAGTATCAGTATTATAAGAGGTACATATAGTGAATTATAAAGGCACTTTTTTAGGCACATCTAGGAAAATGGAAGCCTAGAAAGGAGTTAATTAAAGAAATAGCCAGATATGACTAGAAAAATAGTTCAAACAGCAAAGTAAGGATAAACTAGAAAAGACGAGGCTTTAACATTAATTCAAATGAGAGATCATGATATCTTGAACTAAGATACCATTTAACAAAATGGAGGTGCAGAGCTGGGTTCTAGGTATGTTTTGGCAATATGGGAATTAAAGGCTCTGGTGGCCAATCATACATGAAAATTAGGGGAGAGAAACAAGTTAAGGTTAACTGTAAGTTTCTAGTCTGGTTGCCTAAGTAAATGGTGATACATTTTCTATTCAGCTCTTTCGGGTCCCTAAAACCTTAACACCCCATACCTTAGTTTACACATTCTGCTTTGACTAGAATATCCTTTATCCTTTATCTTCACAACTGGTCCTAAAATAATATTTGACATGATTTCTCTGAAACTATCCCCCAAATATACACTAGAATTCAGTACTACCAAACTGCATATGGTTCTCTACAGTGAATCTCTACTTTCTATGTTTTCAATTATGCTGGTGCCTGTAGTTCAAATGCCACACTCTTAACCTGTTCACTTGTTCACCCCTAACACACCCTTTATAGCCCAGTTTCTATGTTCCAATATCATATTGTTCCCAACTTTATACTATTTTATAAAGTCTGAAATTTTTATTATCAAAAATGTTGACATCTGATAAACCAGTCAAGAGCCAAATAACCTTAAGGTTAAACATACCTTTCTTTTCAGTTTTCTCTTTCACCTTTTCTTCTCCTCCTCTTCCTTTTATCTGTTCTTGAGCACCAGAGGATACAGTTGTTAATGGTGTAGACTGTATCACATTTTTAGAAACTGTAGAATTAGCTTGCAGTAGAGTACCAGATGGGAATGGTATTTGTTTCACTGAAACAGAAAATGAAATAACATTATTTATATTAAACCAATAAACAAGATAAAAAGTATGGAACTATGAATCATAAATATAAACTATTTTTAAAAGAGAAATTCATTGTTATCATAAAGCTCCATATATCCCGATTTTTATATTTCACCATTAGACAGAATTCAATACTTTAATTCCAACTGTTGAATTGCTTTAGAATTTCATTAATGATATCAGAATTGAAAAGTTTAATATTTCAGGGCAATTCTCTAGAATAGCGAGAGATGGAATACAGTTTCACATTGCTAATATGTTAACTGTTTATTTAATTCTATATTTGTATTCCAAATCTAGTCTTTGAAAACATCAACTAGCCTCACATTTTTCACTGACAAACAATATCCTCTAGCTGACAGTGTTAAACATACGTTACTTATTTTTACCTTACTTTTATTTAGCTCACTAAGGGTAGAATTCATACTACAGCATTCAAAAGTCACAACAGAATGGTCAAAGAAAGTACTAAGAGAGGATTTCCCTATACTTGGGCCTCTTCAACTCACCTAGGAAGGTTTTTCTATGATACAATCAAATGCCTTTCTGTGTGGAACTTTGAAATTGTAATAGAACTATTATTATTGTTGTTTTACAGTAATGTAAACTTATCTAGGAACCGTTAAAATAATTCAATAAAATTTTTAATTTTATTTATAGAGTAACAGTTGAAGTGGTAATTATCTGCTGACTTGGATAACTTAAAATTAATACACTTTCAGGCAAATTATAATTCCAAGCTTCAATTTCCTCAGATAAAAAGATAAAACATCATGTATAAAAACTGATTAAAATCCTATATAAAACAAGGATATTTGTGTATACACAATATTAAGGATAAAACACAAAAAAATATAAGACAATGTGCACACAGTGCCACAGCACATAATAAAACTTAATAAATACTAACTAAACATTATAGTCATTTCAATAACTATTCAACAGGGAATAGTGATGATTAGTTGCAGTATAGTACAGAGAAAAAAATAGGTTTTTGAACCTCAGCTTTGCCACATTTGTATGACTTTAGACAAGATCGCTTGCCTTTTCTAAACCTCCATTTTCTCTTCTGTAAAGGAGAACAAATGCATAAGAAGTGCTGCTGTGAGGGTAAGAAACCAAGCGTAATACCAAACTTAGTAAAAAATATGTAAGACAGCCATTTTTACAAATCAAAACAACCTATCCGTTCTATATTTAATCACCTCCATTTTGAATTTCTGCTTGAATTAACTCTTGTTTCAATTCTTCAATTTCTTTCTTCAGTTTAGCATTTTCAACTCGAAGTTTCTTCTCTTCCCTCAACGTTGCCTGCAAAACTAGGATCAAGAAAATCCAGTTAAGAAATAGCTATGTCTTCTAAAAAGTTTTTTATGAGTAATACTTGAAATGATCACAGCCAGTATAAACATTGCTAGGACAATAATACTGACAACCAAATGTTTGGCCAATTCTTTTATAACAGTTTAGTATTTATTAAAACAATATGGTACTTAGAGAAAAAGGGAAAAAAACTGTGAAATAATAGTGGAAGAGAAAAGGTTTTGTTTATAAATCATTTTCCTAGCTTCTATAAAGATATTTATGACAACTTAAAAATCTGGCTCAAAATGTAAAGTGTGAGAAAGAGAGACAAATATGAGATATATTAAACTTTTTTTTAAGTCTGAGCTCTAATAATAACACCAAACAATTAAAAAACTATTCTCATGTCTTCTTTTTTAATCATTACCTTATAAAATTAGCTAAATAATTTTTTATTCCTGATGTCTCAGAAGTTCAGCTGGTCAAACATTTGATGAGTGAAACAACTTCAAAGTTTTTTATTAAAAAAATAACAATAATATATTTTTAATTACAAAAAAATTGATAAAGGGAATTTTTTTAGGGAATAAATATAGGATTCTATAAGGCATTCACAGTCTGATGTAAGAGAAAAGCCTTTATTTCTATTAATGATGGTAAAAAATTTTGGGATTTTCATCACAACATTAACATTTGACTATTAAGAAATTAAATACACTTAAGCAAACAAAACAAAAATCAACCTAAATCCTAAAAGCAGGTTCAGATTTGTTATTTTTGTATGTATCATAGCGATTTCCAAGTAAAACTTAAATAAGCATTGCAAAAACTGTAAAAATCATTTCAGAAAAAGGCTACAGGTAGAAAACAGTATGAAAATATACATTCTCTTTTACACAAGGGTGGAGGTATTTGAGTTCATATTTGATTTCACACAATTGTCTTTATTTTTAATCTCTAATTCTATAACAACTTAAACATTAGTTTTCCTTCAGTATTCCTGAAATAATAATTGTTTTCTCCACATATCACACATTAGCTATACACCAATTCTAATTTACCTTAATCCTAGAATATTATTTCTCTAATTATTAAAAGAATCTAAATTATCATCAAGATAATGAATAATTTATGTGGTAAACATTCTATTTTTACTCTGTCAATAAATGAATTCATTTTAACTATCTCCTTAGAACATTTTAAACTTTCTTACTTGCTTTCTCTTTAAGAAGAGCAACTTGCTGCTTAAGATATTCAATAATTTCATCTGCCTCTGCACCCTTCCTCTCTAGTCTCTTCAGAACAGCATCACTGGTTGCCATTTTTGCCAAGAAACGGCAGAAAACCCTAAGTGAAAAAATACACATGGTAAATTATACTGTAAAAGGAATAAATTTATTGTACAAGACACTATGAATGAGCAGGCTGAAAGGAAAAACATTTTCTACTGCAACAGATCAATATGTGAGAAAAATATTTTTCCTAAGGGCAGCAACAAACCAAAGGCAGAAACGTTAAACAGACTAATTCCTCAATCTTTATGGAAGAGGAAATTTTTTTTCGTAAATGCAGAAGACATGCTATTTGACCATATTTTACATTGTAAAGTTTCAAAGAATACTTAAAAACACAGCAGAATATTATGACACAAGACAGGAACACTAAGGGAAAAGAATAATAATAACCTTAACTAAGCGATAATGGAGTAGTACACCGTATTGTATTCCAAAGTAAAGAATTGCTGAATTACTTCTTTATATATTAATTTAGTCTACTGAATATTTCTACTGTTTATATATATATAATTTTAAGGAGGAACAGAATTAGAAAAGACAAATTAAAAGATAAATATCAACAATAAGGGAAAACATCAACAATTAGAAAAGTATTAATCACATGCCCACTCAGAGATAATGTCCGCATATATACTGTGTCCTTTATAAAAAAACACAAATTTTGATACCATAGAAATTAGGAAACATCCTATCAATGTACAGAAAAATGTATGTAAGCAAAGATTATGTTCATCAGAATCTTTGTTAAAGTTTAACTTGCCAAGTGTTAAGACAAACAGACTGACAAGACAGGGTTAATCATTAACACTTTTATGAACTGCTACTCAGTTTTACCTGATTAACATTAATTAGATTCAAAGTACAACAGTAACACAAGCATTGCTGAAATAATTCTGATTTTCTATTATCTGCACACTCAATGAAAGGCGAAAATTTTTTTAGAAAAAAATTGGCTAATGATGGACATATAATACAAGATTCTTTTGTAATTTCGAATTATTATGCAAAATGCATTCTATATGAACAACACTCTGAAATATTTACTTTTTTATAGAAAGAAAACCAACCCTCAAAAAACATTATGATGATGTTGACAATTAATGATACAGAAGCAATAAAAAAAAACTTTACAAATAAAGTTGCTCGTAAGTGAAAGAAATATGAATGGGGGTTAATCTCAAAGAGCCATAGTAAACTGTTCATTTTCTACATGGACTATTATTTAATGGTTTAGAAAAATACAGAGGAAAAAAAGGTACAAAAATGGAAGATGAAGAATAAAATGAAGATAACACCTTTTAAATTCTGCCATTTTTTTATCAAAGTGAACCCAGAATAAATACCATTGTTGTTAATCAGATGTTTGCAAAGCCAGAATCTTAGAGAATAATACAGATGGACATTTGAAGAAAGTTATAGAAGTTTTGCTAGAACAGTCATTTCTCCAGCAATAATCAAGCTTACTTGGCAAAATAAAACCTAGGAATGACTATAAAACACACTAACTCTTAACCAGATGTACTTTTTCTCTACTCCCAAATAACTGGTTATCATGGCAATATTAATCATGATGCAAATATGAAAAATATGTCTTAGAGTATATGTTTTGACAAAACTTTACTCAAATGCTAAGAGCTATTTAATGTTTTTAGGATTAGAGGTTCTGCAAACAGGCTTTCCAGTATTTGTTGCTTGTCATTTAAAAGTTTTCAAATATATAAGTAGGATGCGTAAGTTTATGTCAGTGTTTTCTAGCAATATACAGATAATGATCACCGGCACTGGCAAAAGGGAATAGTTTCTTTAAAAGAGTATTTACAACGAACAACCTTGGTTGAATCACACTTTTTATTCTATTAACTGGCTGGCTGTGTGATCTTGGTAGTTACTTAACTTCTCTATGCTTCATTTTCTTAATTTTTTAAATGAGGACACTTTGACCTGATTTCACCTCCTACTTCTTTGGCATCTCCTTTTAGGCTCCTTTTTGTTGATTTTCTTTAGGGTTTAGTCCTGATCTCTAGTCTCTTCTAGCATTACACACTGCCAACACACTGATCAGGAGCACCTTTGTATTCCAGGGTTAACAGTGTTTGAAACAAAATGAGAACAGTTTTAGCGGGTAAAACAGACATCACTGCTCCTGTTGTCTGTTGTCTGCTATTTATATTACCTGCCAGGTCCCTTATAACTTAAGTTTATGATCCCAGTTTTATTTATAGTCCCTGATTTTGAAGCATGTACTAGTTTCAAAGCAAAATTAAACATGTTCTCTATACTCACTAAGCTTTCAGACAAACGGGGAAAACACAGTAAACCAGAGAAATTTTTTTGAGGTTATATTTAGGGCAACAGTTCTAGCTTAAATATAGCACTGCTTAAAATTTCTGACAGATCTTTTACTATTCAACCTATTGCTCATTTCATTTACTGTGTGCCAACCGCTCCACCGTGATTTTCCATGTTTACATTAAGTGTCCACTAAATTTCAAAACTTAAAATTTCCTTAGTCTTCTCAGAGCTTTTAATATGCTTATATGCACAGGGTTTCTCACAAATGACAAATGTTAACAATAATAATAGGTAACATTTGTAGAGCATTTACTATGGGCTGGCTACCTGCTTTATATAGATCATCTACGCATACTGTAATAAGCTCCATTTACAGAGAAAGAAACTCGAATTAAAATTCATTTGCTCAGGTCATGTGGCTACTTAGTAAATGAAGATTGAAACTTAGGTTTGTCTGATTCTGTAGTTAGCTCCTTTAATGATCAAACCATAATTTCTCTGAAGGATATAATTATGAAACATTTCACAATGTATTTAACTGTGGAATCCTAACCAAGGAACAGCTATTAACAGTTACTGGAACTAGTATTCTCTATTAAAACAGTTTGAGAATGCTGGCTTAGTCTGTGCTAAAATTTAAAAAATGATTATGAAATTAAAGTAGATATAATTGCATGCACAGAGGTTGCAAATATAAAACATTTATATAGAGAAGAAAAGACACAGAAAACAGTACACAAGTATGTAATTGCATTTGGACAGTTAGATTCCAGACTGTTATTTTCTTTTCCTTTAGTAAATTAAAAAATAATTAAACATATTCTTTTATGACAAAAAAACTTTTGTGAAGGATTATGTAAATTAATCTGTCCCTACACATTAATTTTATTCTTCTCATCACTTATCACACTAAATCAAACCTAAAAAGCCATTTTAAGACGCTTCTAATCATAAAAGCTCAAGCCCATTCTACCAAATACATGAATTTAGACTACATCTTAATCATTAATACACACATAAAAGATTATTTCTGAGATTCCTTCCTATCATTTCTAAGTGGTTTCCCTTTACCTTAGCAATCTCCTTAGTAAGTCTATCTCACTCAGTTCTAAATAGCCAGCAATTTCTTTTCAGTAGCAAATTCCCTGCCCCAGGCTCTCAATGTTAGGAACCAAATATGAACAAATAAGCTACTGCTTTGAAATGGAAGTTTTAAGTTCAGATTTTCAACTTTAATTTATAGAACAGGAACTCAGCGAAAACTTGGAAGTTTCTCTTACTTCCCAAAATATCTGATGTCACTGTTTCAGGATTGCAATCACTTAAAAATATATATATTCTTTTAGGACACCCTAAATACTGTATTTCATCAAATCAAAGATGTCATCAATTATAAATGGCTCCAATCATAAGATGCTCTGTTATTTTATGTAGCATTAAGAAAAAAAAATCACAGCTAATTTAACGACTCCAATGTCTTCTCCTTAGTCACACCCTGTATTATTTACTGAAAGTCATCTATTAAATTTAGCCCAATTTTTATCTTATATCACTTTTTTGTTTCCCTATATTTCTGCATACACAGTAACTTTTCATTTTAATGCTAAAGCATGTTTTAAATAGTGATGAAACTTAAAATGAAGACCAAACTCAACAACTACCTACTAACAGTACACATAACTGAACTGGTGACACTATCAATAGTCAGGACCAAGTTGCCATAAATGTGGGCATTGCCAACTATGTCACAATTGCCTTAGTCTATAGTGATTTTAAGACACCGATTATAAAATGTGCCACTATTTAGAGATGTAAATATGAGAAAACTGTGTATCAGAATTGATAAAGTAATTTTAATCACTTTTTTCCTGTTTTGTAATTACCATCATCTCTATTCTTACCTTCCAAACTTCTTTCTTTGTAATCTAACTGCCAAGTAACCCAACTCTGAGACCACTGTTACTACAGTGCTACACCATGTGGTGCTTTTTTAGAAGGTTAAAATTCCTGCTAGGATTTAAAACATGCCGAAAGTCAGAATTTTTAAAAAGGTAAGAAGTAAAATTAAATATTCTGAGAACAATGCATCCCAGAGACATTCAAAATATATAGCAGCAGCAATGGGCAATAATTCCAGGGGACTTTCAGCAACTTTTGATGAAATTCAGAAGGAGGATCTAAAACTGTGCTTTTTGTGAAGTTCATATTTACTTTTTTTTTTATAGTCAGGGAATGAATTAAAATTCTAGCTGTCACTCAGCTTTGTGATTTTTTTTAATCTTAAAAAATTAAAAACTTTTTGAGGTATAATTGACATATTTGTATTAGTTTCACATGTACAACATATTTTGATATTTATATACTTTGCAAAATGATTACCAAAATAGTCCAGGTAACATCTTTCACAATTGTAAAACTGTTTTTCTTGTGATAATCTTCAACATTCACTCTCCTAGCTACTTTCAGGTATGCAATATAGCATTACTAACTATGGTCACCATGCTGTATATAACATCTCCATGACTTATTCATATTAGAACTAGAAATTTGTATTTATTCTTGTTTTCATTAACTCACCAGAGAACCTTCTTCCCCTCTACTAATGAGGACATTGAGAACCCCTGGAGGGTTTAAAGACTGGCTATGAGAGGATGGCTAAAGAGTAGATGACCATGAGAGGACAGTCTATCTATTTCAGATACTATGGCGAGTAACACTGAAAACCATTCTGTCCAGTGAAATAGGCATAGAAAAATTCAAAACGGGGTATGTCAAGGTCTCCCATGGCCTTCTTACCACACAACAGGATTATCTTTTACCTGGTCCAGATTTTCTTTAATAGGATTTAACCATCCCTTTGCAGTCATAGATGCACTCACTACTGCCTTTCTCCTACTTCTCATCCAAGCACACAGCTAATATTAACAACCATTGCTTTAATAGGTCAGGCACATTATATATGTTGTCACTTAAACTTCACAACATTGTGAGACAGTTATTCCCATTTTATAAACCCAGAAAATTTATGTTACTTTCAAATATTAAACAGCAAAGCAAAGATTTTAACTTGTGTTTGTTACTCCAAAACTCATACTCATTTTTAAAGTGTGTCCCAACCTAACTTAAAGAAAATTACCCACCATTCATCAATACTCTTGCATAGCTAAATTAAAAGCACTAAGAATCTCGCCATTTCTCACCACCCCTGGTGAAGTCACCACCTGTCTGCTACGGATTACTGCAAAAGCCTTGTAACTGGTCTTTCTTCCTCCACCCTCTCCCTTTCAGTCTACTCTCCATAGCAACCAAAGAGATCCTTTTTAAAAAAGAAGTCATACTATACCACTCCACTGCTCAAAACCCTCCAGTGGTTTAGATATCCTCATAATCCTTCCTAACCTGTTCCTGCTCCCTATAATATTGTCTCCAGCTGAAACCACTTCCCTTGAATGGCTGGTCCCTCTACCTCAGTGCACTTCCCCAAGACATCTGTATGGTTAACTCTCTCACTTTTGTCGGCTCTTTACTGGAAAGTCATCTTTTCAGTGAGACCTTCTATGGCCATACTAAAATTTCAACCGATATCCTCCTTTCCTGCTCTATTATTTTTCTCTTTAGCACTCAATTAGGACCTAAAATACGGTATGTTTTCCTTAATTTTGTTTAGTGTGTGTCTTCCTCAATAAAATTTGAACTACAGGAAGCCAGAAGCGTTTGTTTCTGTACATTACTCTTAACCCAATGCTTAAAACAGTGCCTGGAACATAGTGGGCGCTTAATAACTAGCAAATGAATGAATTGCTGCCCCTCCATCCGCCCCAGTCCTTACACACACACACACACACACACAAACACACACCTAAGTAAACATGACTGTGAACACATCTTTTCCAGTAGCATCCTTTCCTTCGGCTCTGCAATCCCTTTTCTCAACTTGGCTCCTTCAAAAGGCCCCGAGTTTTTCAATGCTTTCCCAGTGCGAGATCACTGCTCGTGTGAGCGGACTTCCCACTCGTACCCGCAGGCAAGGCCCGATCTCCCGAAGGCTAGTAAGGGAAGGAGACGCTTAAAAACAACCGCAATCCGCCTAACCCGGGACCCTCCCCAGCCGTCACTCACATGAACCAGGGAGCAGGGACACCGGCAGCATCGGCGGGGAGCGAGTAGGGTCAGCCTGCCGCACACGCACGCCGTGGAAAGGACCCAGGGAGGTGTCTCTGCTAACGCCTGAGCAGATTCAACTCCAAATTCTGTCGTCCCTTTCCTGAGCTCAGGCACACCATGCTTTCCGTCTTCCGTTCTCTCTGCCATTAACGCCAGGCCCCCTGCACCTCTTTCTCGGTCGCTACATTTTGTTGCCAGATTGGGCAAGAGGCAAGACGCCGGCGATCGGGGTCTTTTCTTAGTGTTGTGTCGCGCAGGCCGTGAGGTCAGAGGAAAAAAACCAGGCTGAGTTACGGGTGGGGGAAGAGGTGCGAGCTGTCTGTCAGTGGAGGTCGCTGAGCTCGCCTTCCCGGCCGGTTTCCGAGTTGGGAACTCCGGCTGATTTTGCTCCAAAGCAAGGGCAGTATCTGAACGCCCGGCGCTCCAGGAGCGGCCACTTTTGTAGAAGCACCTGAAATGCAGGGCCTTGCGCACTAGCCTTAGCGGTGACGCCAGCCACAGCAACCGCGCCGGGGCCCTGTGTGGAAGCTCCATCCCCTGCTCTTTGTGTCCGCCCAGACTCAGAGGCAGGTATTAGGTTTTCCCAGTTTTCTGGGTCGTAGTGGGTGGGGCTTGTGGGAGGTAGAGGAACGTCAGGTGCAGCGAGTGGCCTCACTTGTCCCCGCCGATTGATGGAGCAACTTGCTGCAGAGCAGTAGCTAGAGCCTGTCTTCCCTCAGCACTCGGTTACCTGAATCCTTTGGGAACTGTAGACGGCTCATTGAAAGTAATCACTGACTGCATCCTGTTTCTAAGGAAGACTCAAAGAGAAGGTTAAAGAATGTGTAATCGCCGTTACCACGATGCGAACTCTTGCTTTGGTTTATTTCTGGTTTCACAGGTTTGGTCAGTTGTCGAGATTTAACATTTTCTTGTGGAATAGGAGAAAGTGAACAGGTGGAAGGAAGTTACTTTAGAGTTTCAGTGGTTGCTTTTCAGGGCCCCTTGTCCCGATTTTGATTTGGAACAGAAAGACAACTTTTTGGGGTAAAGTATATAAAGTAAGTGTTATTCGCCCACTGAAGAAATGTGTAAGCATTTTTATTCATGATATTCATGATGAAGTCTTTTTTTCTGTTTCTGATCTTTTTAATTTGACCATTTTTTACTCCCAAGTTCTTCAAGGGCAGAAATTGTGTCTAGTTCATAGTTGATGGCCCTGTCGCTGGAATCACAACTGACTTAAAATAGGAGCTTCACCGGATTGTTGAGTGAAGGAATTTTCAAACCCAACTGCTTACATTATTGTTTTTGCTCATCTTATCTCTCTCAGCTCGTTTTTTTTTTTTTCACTAGCTTTCTTCCACTCACCAAGTGTAAGCAAATCTATGTGTTTGCTATCTTTTATGTAAGGCTATTTATGTATCCCATCCAGGAAGTAGTTGAAGCAGAACACTTATGAAATGTTTTATGCTAACTAGTATTTTAACTTTAATTTTTGCATTATCTTTATTTGGTTATTTGAATTTTAATTGTCTAAGTGATAGAGGTATCAAAATGAAAATCAAATAATATAGCACAGAGGGATTGTGTAACAAAATGTAACAGTTCATTATCTCCCTTCCTACCCTCAGTCCTGTTTTTCAGAGATAACCAGTTTTAATATTATCTAATTTTAAGTCTGTGTTTAATAATAAACTGCCAGTTCTTTTTCTTTTTACTGACTTCCTAAAATAGCCCACACCATCCACAATCTCTCTTCTCCAAATGTTTGAATAATTATCACAATGTTTTGTTTTTATATTTATTAGTTTTATAGTTCTAAATAATGTATGTAAACTATTATTTTTTTCACTCAACTTTTGAAAATATATTTTGGCTTCTTATTTGGTAAAATGAGGAAAGTAGTAACTGCTTTTTCCTTTACCACCACAGAAACCACATCCACTCCCACCTTCCCTTAGCTGGACCTTTGCTTATATGTTGTAAAGGTTAATAATATTTACACTATATTTCTTAACTACAGTTGTTTTTTTTACTTTGTTCATGTGTTTAAAACTGTTCTATGGCTTTATGAATATTCTTCAGTGCAGAACCAAGAAGTATTCTATGAAACATTTCCTTCCCAGTGTTTTAATTTCATGACACCTGTGGCACACTCAGGCGAAGATTTGTAATATTAACATCAAACTGATTCTTCTTCCTCTCCAGTGACAAAAAAATTATGCTGTATTTAAGTGCTTTATGTTTTAGACCATATGCTTAATATTTAGTTTTTAACCCTCTTCACTTTCACAGAGGACTTTCTGCTTTCTTTTTGGGAAAAGGTATGTGTGCTTTCTTTCTTCACCAACCCCCTCCAATCATGTGCTTTTTTCACCATGTCTTCTTGTTTCTTGTTTAAGAAGCTTCCATCATTTCTCTGCTTGAAGACATTTCTCTTGGAGCCCAATCACTTTGTTTCATTTGAACAGATTACATTCTAGTCCTTTTGTACAGCTTCTCTCCTGGGTTATGTTCATTGATCTTGAGTAAGTTACATTGTTCCTTAACCCCACATCTGTTTGGTTTTCTTTTCTGTTTTGGTAGAATACATTCTAGAGAAACTTATTCATAAAAGACCTGTGGTTGGTAATTTTATTTTTTGTTTGCCTGGCTGTAAATTATTATGTATTATTGATAGTTTGGCTGAATGTAGAAAACAAAATTATGTTTCTTCAAATCTTTTAAGGCTTTACTGTCTTCTAACTTCCATTGTTGCTTATAAGAATATGAGAATACTAGTGTGACTTTAATTTTTTGATGTCTGAACTATTTGTTTTCTCTCTGAAATAATGAAAATTTTTAATTATGCTTGATGCTTTGAAAATTTATGATGGCATGTCTTGGTGTGAGTTTATTGTCCTTGCGGTGAACTCATTCACAAGAGCTAGAATAAATGTTTCAGTGTGTGTCTTTTTTCATTTATCCTCCTTGAAATTACAACCCATTTTAATTTGAAGGTACATGTTTCACTTTAACTGTAGGGTATTTTCTCCTACCTGTCATAATTTATTCTCCTTTATTTTTCTATAGATGCTTTTTTCAATGCTCCCATAAGGTGGTTGTTGGATTCTTGGCTTGATTCACTATGTCTATTATCTTTTCTCTTATATAATTTTATTTACTTGCCCTTTTGCTCCATGTTCTGAACAATTATCTCAACTTTATTTCCAACACTTGTAATTTGGTAATCATCTATTTAATTTCCAAACCCTCATTTTTGAAAGTTACTCCTTTCTCACATTCTCTTTCATTTGTTTCATTTTTTATTAAATGAAATTTACATGTATTAAAGTACACTAATTTTTAAGTGACTAGTGTGATGAGTTTTGATAACATGTAAGCATCCACATGACAACCACTGCCCCATTCAGGTGTGGACATGTACACTGTTCCATAAGTTCCCATGTGTCCCTGTCCAGTCCCATCCTCCTTGCCAAAGGCACTGCATTCTCATTTTCATCATGGTACTTCAGAATTGTTGTTGCAGAACTACATTTAAATGGAGTCATAGGATATGAACTCTCCTGTGTCTAATTTGTCATGATAATTTTTTGAGGTACATCCATATTTTGGCATGTTTGTTCCTTTTTTGTTGTTGAATATAATTCCATTGGATGAATATACCAAAGCATGTTTATCCATTTGTTTGTATGACATTTTCATTGCTTCCAATTTTCAACTGTTACGAATAAAAGTACTGTGTACATTCTCATACAAATATTTTTATTATGGACAGATATTTTCATTTTTCTTAGGTAAATACCTAGTAGGAGTAGAATTTATGAGTCATAAGTTTGGGGTATTTTTAACTTCAAAGCAGTTTCCAAATAGTTTTCCATAGTTCATGCATGATTTTATGCTCCCACCAGTAGCAGTATTTCAGCTTCAGTTCCATATCTTCTTCAACACTTAACTATTGCCAGACATCCAAATTTTAGCCATTCTGGTAGGTGTGAAATGGTATTTTATTGTGGTTTTAATTTGCATTTCTCTGATGATTAATGCTGTTGAGAATTTTTTTGTGTGCTTATTGTCTATTTGTATGCTCTCCTTTGTGAAAATATATGTTTAAAACTTCTGCCTATTTTTTGGCGATCCTGCCTAAAGCATCTATAGCTTCAATGCAATTCCTATCAAAATACCAACAGCGTTCTTCAATGAACTAGAGAAAATCATCCTAAAATTCATATGGAACCACAAAACACCTCGAATAGCCAAAGTAATCCTGAGAAGGAAGAATAAAGCCGAGGGAATTATGCTCCCTAACTTCAAGTTCTACTACAAAACCACAGTAATCAAGACAATTTGGTACTGGCACAAGAACAGACCCATAGACCAATGGAACAGATTAGAGAGCCCTGATATAAACCCAACCATATATTGTCATTTAATACATGATAAAGGAGCCATGGACATACAATGGGGAAATGACAGCCTCTTCACCAGCTGGTGTTGGCAAAACTGGACAGCTACATGTAAGAGAATGAAACTGGATTATTGTTTAACCCCATGTACAAAAGTAAACTTGAAATGGATTAAAGACTTGAATGTAAGTCACGAAATGATAAAACTCTTAGAAGACAACATAGTCAAGCATCTCCTGAATATAAGCATTAACAACTTCTTCCTGAACCCATCTCGAGAAAGGGAAACAAAAGCAAAAATGAACTCATGGGACTACATCAAACTAAAAAGTTTTTGTACAGCAAAGGACATCATCAACAAAACAAAAAGGCATCCTACAGTATGCGAGAATATATTTATAAATGACATACCCGACAAGGGGTTAACATCCAAAATATATAAAGAACTTATATGCCTCAACACCCAAAAAGCAAATAACCCAATTAACAAATAGGCAGAGGATATGAAGAGACAGTTCTCCAAAGAAGAAATTCAGATGGCCAACAGGCACAGGAAAGATGCTCCACATTGCTAATCATCAGGGAAATGCAAATTAAAACCACAATGAGATGTCACCTCACACCAGTAAGGATGGCCAGCATTGAAAAGACTAAAAACAACAAATGCTCCTGGGGATGCAGAGAAAGGGGAACCCTCATACACTACTGCTGGTGAGAATGTAAGCTAGTTCAACCATTATGGACA